ATATTGGCAGACTTCGTGAAGTCATAAAGCGAAGTGTAAGGTATGTCACGGGGCTGATCTTCGTATTGGTCGCCCTCCTCGATGGAAGTGCCTCATCTATTGCTAGTCGTTATCAAGAGGTTCGTCATTGCCGTATTGCCCCGGTACAACCGTTCCTATCCCGGTTGCTCGTAACAGTGGTAGTGGCTGACGGGCGATGTATATGAAGGGCAGTGACTGCAATCTAGCAAGAGATCTGCTCTCTCTTTGCCCCGTCACCATTGAAGCCCGTGATGGGCAATACAATTTCTCCATCGCCCTTCAGTAGGCATGCACCTGACCGAGATCTCGGCCAGGTCCCCTGGTGCCTTTACTCAAGCCGGGTATGTGGTGGAAGGCGCACTTCCCACGCTTAGCAGGTCTTCCCATATTCTAGCGGAAGTTACATTAACATTGCCCGCTGGTAAGTGGGAGATCGAAGGCAAGCTACTATAGCTAGTTGCAGTTGACTAAGTCATCGTATTCCTCTGTGAACTAATAAATTGTTGGGTCGGGGGTGTCGACTTGGTACACGACAGGGTGGCAGATTTGAGGTTGTTTTTGAAGAGGTTGCTGCTGCCACTTTCTGACGAGTCACAGCAAGTCGGTGACTAACATTGTTGATTGGAGGACCTCTTGCTATGGCTATATATACCTACATCTGACTGGACTGCTTGGGATTTGATTACGAGTTCCATTAGGTAGTGAAGCCTTGAGAAGGAGGGGCTGAGTAGTCACCTTGGTGAATAGGCGATGTCGGAATCGAAAGTCGAACAGGACGGTGCGCTGCTCATCCAATTGGTGGAAGTAGCGTGAGGACCAACGGCGAACTGAGGACTCAATTGATTGAGTGGTGCGCTGCACATATGACAGGAGGGAAGCTGTAGCAAGATAGGAGCGGGACAGTCAACTTACCTGGTAGACTGTGCATTGCTCGCACAGTCTGGGGAAGTGGCACGTGGACATCAACGGACTGTTGGATTTTTGTAAGTTGGAGTTTCATGTGGTGACTGCGACAAGTTTCTTTCAAAGCTGAATTGGCCGCCATTGCGGGGCCCTCAGGATCTGAAGGCACCAAGGCCCTCTCGCGTGAGTTGAGATGGCCCCTTCTCGTATCTCAAGCGTCTGACCATTCTTCTTCTACCCTTCTGCCTCTCAGCCTTGTCTATGTTTGGAGAGGAAGGTGGCAGGCGGGATTGCAACCCCTAGGACTGCATCCAAGCCTTGTGGGAGGTTGACCCACCGATTGCGGGAGCTCTGTCGGAGCCCAGGCGGGGCTCGGGAGGAAGGGAACTCAGAGGTAGGCCGATACTATACCATTAGCATCCCAATAAACCCTTATTTATACAAACCTGGCGTTTGGTCTGTTTGACTTTGATTAGCGTATATGTTTGTTTTCTTTTTCAGGAGTCTAACTGAATCAAAAGGGGAATCTACTATGCATATTTAACTCATCTGTCTATGGTAAAAATCACAATTTTTTTTGCATTGCGATGATTTGAAATGGGGCTGGAGATGAGGTCCTCCTGACTGATCCAGTCGCTTTGCTGTTTGCCTAAGACATTGAAATGGGGTTGGAGATTAGGTCCTCCTGACTGATCCGGCCGCTTTGTTGTTTGACTAAGACATAGAAATGGGGCTAGAGATGAGGTCCTCATGACTAATCCGGTCGCTTTGTTGTTTGCCTAAGACATTGAAATGGGATTGGAGATGAGGTCCTTCTGAATGATCTGGTCGCTTCGCTATTTGCCT